GGGCTGCGGGTCTGTGAGGGGTCAGTGAGCGGGACACGGCGGCAGGGGCAGCGAGCAGGGTGAGGCTGCGCCTTCCGCCCCGCCGGCGCTCAGAGGAGGAGCTGTTTGGCGAGCAGCGGTCAAAACTTGATGGTGTGAAACCCGGAGCCTTTTTCTCTCGTGCCGCCTCCCTGAGTGAGCTGTGGTCTCGCTTGGTGTGGGGTTGTTGGGCTGAGTCTCACGGGGCAGCGTGGGTTTCAGCTGCTCCCGCACCGTGAGCTGAGAGAAGCGGGGCAGAAGTGCCCCGAGGTGACGTGTGTGTGTTCTGTGGGGCTTTTGTGGTGGTTGCAGGGGGTTAGGCAAGTCTGAAGTGAAAGGCGATCTTCTGAGTCATCCCCCTTGCAACACCGTGTTTCATTCAGCAGAAACACATCCTCGTCGGACTGTTCGTTTGGGTTTGGGGGGTTTGTTTGTTTGGGGTTTTTGTTTGTTGTGGGTTTTCTTCCCCTCTTTTGTTTTGTTTTGGGTTTGTTGTGTTGTTTTGTGGTTTGTTTTTTTTTATAATGTTTATTATCGTGATTGGATTCAGTGTCTTCAAAATACCATCAGGAGGGCTGTGCTTCTCGGTACCACAGTCCCTGTGGTTCACACTGTTGAAACGTGCACCAGCCATTTCGCTGCATGGTAAAGAGCTTTCTTTGTTAAGGCTGTGCTGAGAGAAGTTTGACTCTCCTGGCCTTTGTCTCCCCAGCTTTCCACTTGCTTTGTGAGCTGAAGAGAGGGCTAGTTCTACCTTTCTATTACTGGAGAACTAAGCATTTTTTAAGATGTCCTTATATGCTGCCTTAAAGAGGTGCTTTTTAAGCTGTATCACACTGTTGGTTGATGGTTACCCAGTTACTAGTTTGATCTCTGTTACTTTTCTCAAGTGAAATACAAATAACAAAGTGTGTGTCCATAACATCCTAAATAGAGAACAAGGCTGCAAATCTCTACAAAGCACGTGTGAGTAAATGAAGAGCTATGGGTTCAGTGTGTCTGAGTAACCATCCTCACCTGCAGACTTGCTGGCTACTCCTGACAAGATTACTAGGAACTATTTCCATGTATCCCTTTCACTTTAAGCTGTACTTTTTGTAGGGGACAGAGAATGCCTGTAGGAGCAGTGACAGGTAATGTCAGTCATGATGTACATTTTTTTTTATAACCAGTCTCCTTCGAATCCTTCTGGACAGATGTAAGTCTTTCATGTGGAAACTTGTGTCCTCCCCCCCCCGTCCTATCAGGAAATGGTCTGGTCATTCTTTGTAAAGAAAAATAAGTGACATAGTGTCAGCTTGTACAGCAGGTACCAAGTGCTCCTCAGTAAGTTAGAATCTCCCCTCAATTAGTGTATTTAACAAAAATATAGTCTTTCACTGGACCTTATTCTATACTGGTGTGTGTATTATTAAGCAGTTGATAAATATAACTGTGATACTGTGATTTGGTATTTTGTGTTAATTGGTGATTGTGTGTGCCATTTTATGAACTCTTCATTAGGTAGTTGTGCAAGTGACTGGAGTTCTGAATTTAAAAAAAATCAGGAAACCTCAGAGGCTAGTATCTTTACATGCATTTGTTCTAAGATGACCACTGATAGAAGGTGAAGCTCCCATTCCGAGGCATGTATAGTTGCAGCACTTCCTTCTGGAAGAATTCAACTCCTCTATTTTATTTTTTTTTTTAATTTTTTTTTTTTTAGTGTTATGTGTAATTTCACAAGACAGCCTGAGCCAAATGAACAGCTTGCTGCTCTTTACTCCCACTAGTTATTTTGAGTTGATTCTGGTGTTTGCTTGATCAGATGATATGCTAAATTCCACTCAGTAAAATAGCAACAAAGGAAAAAAAACCCAACTTGGCATGATACTAACAATTTTTTGGCTGGTTGAGAGTGCTGAATTTGTTTATGTTAAAGCACATGAGTACCAGAGCTGATACGAGGAAGGGATGGCTTCTGCTAGGATACTGAGGTTACAGAAGAAGGGAACTGGGAGCAAAATGTCCTTGCCTACTTGGAGGTGGTAGCTAATAATTTGCGTAATATGAAATTGCATGCCTACTGTATTTGGACTAGGGATTAGTTTCGTGTGGTCTCTTTTAGGCTGTGTAGTAGTAATTACTGAAGGTATCCTGCAGATAGGAATTAGTCCCATGAGGCTGTCAGGGTTAAAAAGCAGAGCAGTACGTCTCCTCACCACTGGTCAAAATTACAGCCAGACACACAATAAGATTAGTTTTGTGGTTTTAGGAGCAAGCATTTTTTTGCAATCAAGATCTGCTGAAACATCTTTTAAATCACATAATTGATAAATGAGGCAGCTGTGAGCCGAGGCAGCAGAAGTGATGTCTGACAGCTGCTTTGCTGACTCTGCAACTCACAGGCCATCTTCCCTTCTGCAGGAAGGAGAAAGAACCTTGTGCACATTGTTGGTTTTTTTTTCCTGGCATAGTGGGATCTTGTTGCTAAGATCAACCTGACATCACTAATTTCTGGAGAGAGAGAGAACTTCAACATTGTATCTTCTAGTCAGTGACTAATAAACACGTTGAACAAGATATCTCCGTGATGATATTAAAAAACTAGTGTAACTCTAATTTTAACTGAGGTAGCTGAAGGATGTTACATTTTGTCTCTACAGGTTGCAGTGTTGTTATTGCCTCTCGTAACTTTGACCGATTAAAAGCTGCTGCAGAAGAACTGAATAATAAATTTTCTTCCATGAGTCCTGCCAGAGTGACTCCCATTCAGTGCAATATCCGCAAAGAAGATGAGGTAAAGACTAGTGATCCTGTTCTGGGGAGTAACATGTCAAAACCATATTGTGTATATAAATTCTCTGTCTCCAAAGCTCTTCTCTGGCTCTCTCAAAAGTGGCTTAGGTCGGGGGACAGTGTAGGAAAGCACTGTTAAATTCATCAAGATGAAGATGTGCTTTCTGATTGTTAGCCACCTGAGCAAGAAGGCAGTTGCAATTCAAATATTTTTCCAACCATGCGTACATATTTCAGATATTTCTGGAAGCAGCCTTTATCAGGTTGTCTTCTGCCGGTGGATATTCTCATAAACCATTGTCATTTCATACTCATATATATTGAGGGTACATGGGAATAAGGTAAATGAAAATCCTGTCTTTAATTTTTCAGTCATTGTGTCAGCCATATAGTTAGACTCACTTCAGTTCCCCAGCTACTCTTACTACTTTCTGTTGAAGTCCTCTTTAGAGAAATATCACTATGAAAATTTTCTAAGCCTCTTGTGGAAGTTTTGAGTAAGGAATGCAATTTCTGTCTCACGTTAACATAAGAACTTAAGCATACCTGCTAAACATGCCCATCTTCAAGAGCAGAAATTTATGCTGGTTAGAGACATCCTGTGGTATTTTTTTTTTTAGCTTTTGTTTCTCTGGTTATTTGCTACTCCTTTGGCTCCTTAATTCTGAGATTCTTGAAGACAACTAAATCCCAGTCACTTGTTACTTAATATCTAAAATTACTATTTGGCCAGAAATGTGTGGATCATGTTTTCAGCTTTTTAGTTTGTAGTGAGGATATAAATTCCTTACACTGGGGTGCTTCATGTTTGTAAGTTGAAGCTAGATAAACTTAATTTAACAATTGGTAACTTACCCTGCTAAAAACTGTCAGGACTTAAAATTGAAGAATGGGGCAAATTGTCTACAACCCACTGTTCACTACTGATTATTATATTTGCTAAAAGCAGCAATGGTGAGTACTTTTTTCTAATTTGCATTGGATTATCTTGCAGGGACTGGAGGAAAAGCACCTTTGGGCTTTTACTTCTGTTCAAAGAGCACAGTACATCCACTTTCAAAACCCACTCTGTTTTTAACCTAAAATCTAGCACTTGGTACTTGGACTCTTAGGAGCAGGGGTCAGTAAAAGATGCAGTGAAGGATTTTTCTAGTCTTGGGGTAAATCTTGGTTAGAGGCAACAGCAATATATCTTACTTCATCATTTTCACAAATACAGGAGTATCTTCCTGTTTACAGTGAAAGATGGGGTGAGAGGGGATTGAAACTTCTGGCTTCCCTCCTGAAAGAAACAAGACTTGTACAACTGTGTTGGCTCTCTATGCTACTCGTTAAGAGCTTTACAACTCATTGTCTGGTTTCAACTTAGTATGAATGAAGAGTATTTACCTCAGAAATTCATGGAAGCTCATTGTTGGGTATATAGGACAGGTATTCCTCCACAGGTATTCCCTGTGAGTCATCATTTCCCTTCTCAGCTCTTATACCAAGTGCCAAAGACTGTGTGAAGGAGAAAGACCTGATAAATGTTTCAACAAGGGGAAAAATTCAGTTCAAGCCTCCCTAGGTGTCAGAACTGATCCATTATAGACTATGGAGCCCAGGAAGCTTCCTGAAGAACTGGTAATTCATTTACTATATCCATCTTTTTGACATTTCAGTGAAACCTTTCTAAGAGGAAATCTTTTAAAGGGAGCCACCGCGAGCACCTGTAGGAACAAGCCATCTGTTGTTACTGTAGCTTGCCTGTTTTTCATCCCTCCATCTCCATCAGTTGTTTTGCATTTCTCGAAAGGCCCCTGTGAATTTTCCCAGGTTTTAGTTTTATAATCAGGTGAACTGGAGGGAGGAATTTTCAATAGAGAAGATATAAGAAAGATGAAAGTGCTTTCAAAATTGCAAGGTGATTTGTTTCTTTTTACTCCTATTGCGAGTCTTAAAGGAACTGACCTGGTTTGAAGATGAGACAGCTCATTCCTTTTGTGTGCCCTAGTTTAGATCTGTGAAATTCAAGCATTAGAAGACTCATTCCTCGTCATATAGTGCAATATGTCGGTTACAGCTCCTTCTGACATAAGAAGAGTCAAAAAAGGTGAAATGAAATAATTGCTTCAGAAGCTTCATGACAGGTATCATGGGAATAGCTTAATGAATTAACATTTTTAAGTTTCTTAATCTTCATTCTCAGAGGCCCTCTTGCTTTCTAGCAAAGCTTACTTTTTGTTTACTGTGCAAGAAATAATCTTGCTTGGAGGATTTTCAACTGATGCATAATCTGTCAGACTTGTTTCTGTCACAGGTTTGTTGCTGCTACTTTTGGCTAGTTTTCCATGGAGTGTTTTGTAAAGTGTAAAAAACCTGTTTTGTTTATAAAGATGAAAGTGAGACACTGGCAACAGCACCTGAGGTTTCTATGTTTTGTCTTCATGGTGCCTTATCCTGAAGCTGTGGTTGTGCCACCTGTCCCTCATCCTGTGATCTGGAGTATATGAAGTGATCAATATTGCTTCTCAGTGATTATGAAGCTGAAGTGATTTTAATTATTTGGATATTTTCTAGCACTGCCCACATAATGTGTTGAATACAACAAGAGCAGGTCAGTTTGCTCCTGCTGAGATGCAGGCCAGACAGCTGCACATGTGTGTCTCTTCAAACCAAGCTCTTTTTCCAACGTGTGAAAAGGATTTGAGAGAGAAAATACTGTCTGAAAATTAAAATTGAGTGTACAGCTTAATCAGCATACCACACTAACAAATATTGTTTCAGGTAGAATCTTTGGTGAAGTCTACACTGAGTCTGCATGGGAAGATTGACTTCCTGGTGAATAATGGAGGCGGCCAATTCCCAAGTCCTGATGAAGCCATCAGTGCAAAAGGCTGGAATGCTGTGATAGACACAAATCTGTCAGGAACCTTCTACTGCTGCAAAGCAGGTATGGACTTAAGCGCTTTTTTTGGGTTTTCTTGTTCTGTTTTTTACAGCAATACCAGAAGACAAGAGATGTAAAGTTTCCCT